GGGCGCAGGAAGGAAACGGCACCTGGGGCAGGTGGGGAGAGCATGGCTGTGCTCCAGAGAAAAGCAGAGCTGGGTCTCCCATTGAGGGCATTGATCTGGGCCTCGCAGGGGAGGGTCCTCATAGAATATTCATCAGCTGTCCAGGTGTGCCCTTTCGGGATCCTGGTCTCCCCTGATTGGTCAGTCGGTGCCAGGGCAGGGGGTCATTTGTCCATGCAGCTGGTCCTGATGTCAGCAATGGCTTGTCTGGTTTTGCTGCTTTTCTGGGCCTGGAGCTGAAACAAAACTGGGGCATGCAGGAGGCAGCCCATGGAGGTTGCACTCTCCCAGCAATGTTTCTCTCTTCTCCCTTCCCCTTTCCCTAAGAATCAATAAACTCTTCTTAAGAAAAAAAAAAGTAGATGGCTGGATGTACATTCTATGGAACAGGATTTCATCACATCTTGAGCAATGTTAACAAATGTTAAAAGCACACTGCCCTGCTGGTGCCAACAGGCTGGTGGTTGGATTCCTGGTCAGGGTACATGCCCGGGTTGTGGGCTTGATCCTCGACGAGGGATGTTTAGTTCTTACATCAATGTTTTCTCTCTCCCCCTCTCCCATCCTCTTTCTCTAAAAATCAATTATTAAACATCTAAAAGAGAGAGAGAGAGAGAGAGAGAGAGAGAGAATACTTTCTTAGCAGTTAGACTCCTAAGAATACCAAGGAGTTGACAGAGAAACTTAGTGTTCCTCGGAAGCAATGGTGCCAGACCAGTGGAACGTTACCCTTCCGGGAGCACTTCCGGGAGCACTTTGCAAAAGCTGAAGACATTTCAGTTGTCACAAGAGGAGGAGGGAGTGTTCCTGGCACATAGTGGTAGCGGCCAAGGACACTGCTCTACGTCCTGCAGTACACGGAACAGGCCCCACCACAAAGAAACAGAGGCCCCAAGTGTCAGTGGCACTGAGGTTGAGGGACCTGCTTTTGAATTTTAAAAAAACTGCCTTTATTGAGCTATAATTTGCATACACTTAAAATTTCTCTTTTTAAGTCCACTTCTCTGAGTTCCTACTGTGGTAGAAGACTGAAGAAACCCAAGCGACACTTAGAGAAACGGACTTACACAGCTTTATTACTCCAGCGGTCACAGAGGAGATGCCTCCAAAGTCTGAGCAAACCAATATGGTGGAAGCCCTTCTTTTATTCCCTTTGGTTTCTCTGTCCCCCAAATGTGGATGGGGACTTCCGGACCTTTCGCGGGCTTTGCGAAAAGCCCTGTGTGGTGGAATGGGGGCCTTGAGGCCATATCTAAGGGCCTGGCCTGGCACCAGCCCTGATAACCCCTCGGAGGGTTGTGTAATGTTCATGGATTATGGCCTCTGAAAATGTGAGCATTTAGGAGGCGGCACCGCCTTCCCTCCCTCCTCCCCAGCGGCGCTCCCCCTCTTCTGCGCCTCGCCTCTGGGGAAGAGGGAGAAAAGAAGAGGCAAAAATCTCTCAGTCTCTCTCAATCTCTCTCTGTTTGATTTCCTGGTTCCATCTACTCTAGGGGCAACCCTACCTTTGTCTTTTCTCTGTCCGATTACATGAACCTATACATTCCTCTTTGGACTAAACAAGTTTAAGTGTATTCCTATTACCAGAAATCAAAGAGTCCTAAACTAAAAGTGACGTGATCACAACTACCAGACTGTTTATCTATGAATCTTAGCCCCAGCATCATCCCAACTATCAATTGTTATAAGTTATTTCCCTAATATACCTCTAGAAAAAAATGGCTTTGTAATAATTGAAAATGGTTGACTCTAATAGTTGCTGTATGGCAATGGTATAACTCACTAGTTTGCAAATAACTGGGTGATAATATTTGTTCCAAATTTTTCAGGCATAAAATGTATACATTAGTTTAGTAAGATATGTGCAATGAAGATCTAACATTTTGTTTTTTTTTAAAAGGAGCTGCCTCTTATCAGGAGCTGACCATTACATTTGTCCTTCACCCCTATTATGTACAGTTCTGACAGGAGCTCTGGTTTGCCTTGGTATGTAAAGAAATTGGGAACTAGCAATATTGTATTTCTAACAGTGACCTTGACATATTCTTAGTTATATTATTGCTGGTTCAACTTCTCTCTCTCTCTCTCTCTTTCTCTCTCTCTCTCTCTCTCTCTCTCACCACACCTGCCCCCTCTCATTTTAAAGCAAATAGATGAACCTGTGAAAGGGAGAAAGAGAGTGAGGAGGGAGTGTGAGAAAGAGAGGCTTTGTAATGACTTCCATGTGAGGACAGCCGGGACCCCTTTCTCCAACCTCGTCTCCTTCCATCCTTTCTGTCCCTTTATGGTTGGAACACATCATAATTCCCCAACTTGTACACTACTTCAAGCCTCTGGGGTCTTACTTGGACTGCTCTGTGTCCATGTAGAGTTCTTTTTCCCTCCTTTTGGTACGGATTCCAAACCCTCTGCCTTTCTCCTTTCCTTCTTCAAGGGGAAAAGAAGAGAGGAGAAGAGCCCTGGCTGGTTTGGCTCAGTGGATAGAGCATCAGCCTGCGGACTGAAGGGCCCCAGGTTCGATTCTGGTCAAGGGCATGTACTCTAGCAGAGTCTTTCTAATTACCTTTTCCTGTCTGTTCGAGGTACCCTCCCCTGGGGCCCTGTGCTTATCTCTGTCATGGTTCTAGTCATATTGGATGGAAATAATCACTCTGATCCTCTTTTCTAATTAGAGTGGTTTTCAACCTTCCTAATACTGTGACCCTTTCATATGATTCCTCATGTTGTGGTGACGCCAACCATAAAATTATTTTCGTTGCTACTTCATAACTGTAATATTGCTACTGTAATTTTACAATTATGAATCTTAATGTAAATATCTGATATGCAGGATGTATTTTCATTGTTTGCAACCCACAGGTTGAGAACCACTGGTCAATAGAGGATCCAGAAATTGCCCCAAGCCATTATACTCAATTAATATTTGACAAAGGAGGCAAGAACATACAATGGAGTCTAGACAGTCTCTTCAATAAATGGTGTTGGGAAAATTAGACAGATACATGCAAAAAAATGAAACTAGATCACCAACTTACACCATACACAAAAATAAACTCAAAATGGATAATGGACTTAAATGTAAGACGGGAAACCATAAAAACACTAGAAGAATCCAAAGGCAACAAAATCTCAGACATATGTCAAAGCAATTTCTTCACCGATACAGCTCCTAGGGCATTGGAAACTAAAGAGAAAATAAACAAATGGGACTACATCAAAATAAAAAGCTTCTGCACAGCAAAAGAAACCATCAACAAAACAACAAGAAAGCCTACTGCATGGGAGAACATATTCGCCAATGTTATCACCGATAAGGGTTTAATCTCCAACATTTATAGGGAACTCATACAATTTAACAAAAGGAAGATAAACAATCCAATCAAAAAATGGGCAAAGGACCTAAATAGACACTTTTCAAAAGAGGACATTCAGAAAGCCAAGAGACATATGAAAACATGCTCAAAGTCACTAACCACCCGAGAGATGCAAATCAAAACAACAATGAGGTACCATCTCACACCTGTCAGACTGGCTATCATCAACAAATCCACAAACGACAAGTGCTGGAGAGGATGCGGAGAAAAGGGAACACTCATAAACCTGTGTTTTCTCTCAAAATTACTTCTTGCATGGATTTTGGGACACCCTTTATATAGAATGACCCCCACGGCCAAACCCTGCTTAGACTCCTCAGTGAGCAAGCACCCACTCCTAAGTCTCTTTGCCCTGTCCATTCTTCTCAAATTGGTTATTTCTTCCTCTAAAAAGCATAAAAGCCGCCCTCATTATTCCTTTCTTCAGGTCCCATATCTATGAGGCCCCTGTACATACAAATTAAACTGGTGTTTTTTTCTCTCTTCTGTTCATCTATCTTGTGTCAGTTTAATTATTAAACCAGCCCAAAGAACTAAAGACAGGGGAAGCTTCTCCTCCCAACAAGAGAAACCACGTCTGTTCATGCGGAAATCTAGGAGCCCTCTGTGGTACTTCCTTTATGTACTTCATCTCTTCTATTTCTGTTTACAAAACAAAATCCCACCCAAATGAAGTCCTGTCGAGTTTACGTTTTTTCTCTCTGAAAATGTGGCCAGGATTGCTGTGGACCTAATATAAACAGCTTCCTCGCCCCCTAGACTCACAGGGGAGATGACCCAGAGACACTGAGAAGGGAGGGCCCAGGAGTGCATGACAACGAAGAGACATGCTGTCTAACTACCAGCCGTGCTGCCGGCCTCCCTGCCTCCGGGCTAATCCAGAACGGGGCTGTTTCAGGCCAACAGCAGAAAGCTGGGCTCGGAGGCACCTGTGAGAGAAAGAGCTCCAACGGTCCGGGGTCTTCAGTGCCAGGGATCAGGGGGAAGATAAAACCCAGAGAAGGAGGCAGGGGAGGGACATGGAGTCTGAGTTGGAAGCTTGGAGCTTGGCTAACAGACCTGCCAAGGAGCCCCCCAGCTTACCAAGTATCGGGAAACTTCACGGGATGGTCCCCACGGGCCCTCACACAGAAGGGTCCAATGCTCAGTTCAGGTTCAGCTGCCTCCACCAAGAACGTCCTAATTTTTTAAAAAATATTTTTATTGATTTTTTACAGAGAGGAAGGGAGAGGGATAGAGAGCTAGAAACATCAATGAGAGAGAAACATCGATCAGCTGCCTCCTGCACATCTCCTACTGGGGATGTACCTGCAACCAAGGTATATGCCCTTGACCGGAATCATACCCGGGACCCTTGAGTCCACAGGCCAACGCTCTATCCACTGAGCCAAACTGGTCAGGGCTGAATGTGTGTTTTAGATGTGACCAACATGTAACACAATAGGCTTTGAATAAAGCCGATCGTAGGCTCCATCATGTGGGTGGGCCTCATCCAATCAGTTAGAGGCTTTAAGAGAAAAGACCAGGTCCCCCAGGGAAGAAGGAAATCTGCCTCCAGACTGCCTTTGGACTTCAGCTACAACATGAACTCTTCCCTGGTCTTCAGCCTGCCCTGCAGAGTTTGGATTTCCCCAGCCCCTGCAATTGTGTGGGCCAAATCCTTAAGAAAAATATCTGTCTGCTCTCTCTGTTTCTCTCTCTCTCCCTCCCTCCCCCCTCCCCCCCTCCCATCCTCTGTGCACATGCACATGTTCCCTGGCTTTGTTCTCTGGAGAACCTGGACCAGTGCAGAGCCTTTGTGCAATTCGTCACATTTTCTTTTTTCCCTGCACAGTGACCTTGGCATGTGGCAATGAGGCCCCCGCCTGGGTTCCTGAGTGACACTATAAAGTCTAGTTCCTCTGCCCTCCATGGTTAAGCCACCGAGATGTGGGAGATATCTATACTAATGGAAGGCTAATATGCAAACTGACTGAACGGCGGAACGACCGGTTGCTATGACACGCACTGACCACTGGGGGGCAGCTCCTGGGTTGAGCATCTGTCCCCTGGTGGTCAGTGCGCTCCCACATGGGGAATGCTGCTCAGTCAGAAGCCCTGAGCCAGGCTCATGGCTGGCAAGCACAGTGGTGGTGGTGGGGATCCTCTCCCACTTCCGTGGCAGCACGAAGGATGTCTGACTGACGGCTTAGGCCCGCTCCCTAAGCCATCAGTCGGACATCCCCCAAGGGCTCCCAGACTGCAAGAGGGTGCAGGCCGGGCTGAGAGACCTCCCCCACAAGCGCACGGATTTCATCCACCGGGCTTCTAGTTTGTTTATAAATGTGTCCAGGGAGGTAAAGCAGATATGAGGGTGACATAGAAGCATAAAGAAAGCTCTGTGTCTTCAAGCCTGGAATTGGCAGACTAAGATTTCACTCCTGCTACAAGTCCTCACTATGTCTGATTTTCTCTGACCAGGACCCTCCTGGCTTGAAGCCCTGCAGGTCCAGGAGCAACCCTTGGAGTTTCCCCCACTCACAGTGTCCCTGGAACCCATTTCTGTTCCCTTCATTCAAGCTCTCCAGGCTTCACAATTACCTCTCCCTCTCAACTCAATAAAAATGTTCCTTTTCTTCTGCAGGTAACAGATCACAACTGTGCAGCAAGAGGCAGTAAGCGAATTCCTTCCAACGTCGGAATAGGAGCTTCTCTTCCCCAAAGGGGTTTGTATTTGAAAAGATTTCAAAACAAAACAAAATCCCACACAAATGTAGCTGTACTTGGTGAAACTCCAGGAAGTGCAATCAAGTGCGGAGATTTCCTGAAGCAAGAGAGACACTGTGGGGGAGGCGATAGGAACGTTTCACAGGTGCTCTGCAGATGGTACCCATCCTGTGGATGCTGTGCTGTGAATTTCTGGGTGCTTCTGAGAGGCCGAAAACAGGGGTCCTCAGGGAAACGTCGGAGCCACTTCCTGTGTTGTCCAATAAATCCCCAAATCTCCTTCCAGATGGCTCCCAGTGACATTACCACGGCCTCCCAGCCTCTCCTGTCCATCCTCAGGCCCAGCTTGCCAGCCACTTGGTTTTCCACAGGGCACGTGACCTTACCCTCAGGGTAAAGTCCTTGAAACCTGACACAGAAATACCCTCCCTCACCCCTCCCCCTCCCCATCTCCCCTCTTCCTCCTAGGAGGCTGACCTCTAATCTCAAATGTAATGCATATTCGTAAGAAGTCAACGAGGGGTCAAACGCAGATTCGGAGACAGATTCTGATTGAGTAAGCT